TGAAATGTCAGGATTATTGCTACCCTGGAGATTCTGCCTTGACTTTGACATTTTTTTAGGGGTCCGTTCTGTCAAGGGAGCAGATCAAGATTGGTTTCATCTCTTCTATCCCTAGATCACATTCAAGAATGAAGTTGGGCAGTATGATTTAGAAGTCACGACATTTCAGTTAGCTGTGCTGTTTGCCTGGAACCAAAGGCCCCGAGAGAGGATCAGCTTTGAGAATCTGAAACTAGCCACGGAACTTCCAGACGCTGAGCTGCGCCGGACTCTCTGGGTAACAGTCTTTATTTTGATGACAGTTCCACAACTGTGTTTAAATGGCAGTGGGAAGGACATGATCATATGGAATGCGAATGAAAGGATCTGATGTGACATTGACTTTACTAAATCCTGCCTAACTCTTTGATTTGTTTGATGTTTTAAATGTGTAGTCTCTTGTAGCTTTCCCTAAACTTAAGCGTCAGGTGCTGTCGTATGAACCTGTGGTGGGCTCTCCTAAAGACTTTGCAGAAGGCACTGTATTTTACATCAATCAAGAGTTTTCTTTAATGTAAGCACAATCATCACACACTGGCCACATTTGCCGAAGAATGATGAGTAATTTAAATAATACTTGTGTTAATAAATCATACGCATATAAATCATAAACCTTGTGCATATTTTCATCACATTCTATGCAATACCGTTCAAAACTTTGGAGTTGGAAAGATTTTTACAATGGTTCTGAAAAAAGTTTCTTTATGCTCACCAAGGATATTTTTGTTGTTTTAAAAAAAAAAAATGGTAAATGTGAAATATTTTTACAATTTAATATGACTTTTTTCCTACTTCAGTATCTTATAAAATGTATTTTATTGCATGTAATTATCATGTGGTGGCAAAGCTGAATTTTCGGCTGCCATTAGTGTCACGTGATAATGATCAGAAATCACTCTAATATGCTGCTTTAGTGCTTAAGAAACATTTCTTTTTATGACATTCCTAATATCTTTTGGAAATGTTTGTGTATTGCTGTCACTTTGATCAATTTAATGCATCTTTGTTGAAAATAATTATTAGTTTCTTAAAAAAAATCTTACTAAACCCAAACTTTTGAATAATCTGTATGCACATACAATTATCTTATAAGTACTACATACTGCGTATCATAGTTCATATCTAAGTACATACATTGCTGGACTATTACGTTATCAAGTCAAGTCAAGTCTGCTTTATTGTCAATTCTTCCACATGTACAGCACATACACACAGAGAATTGAAATTGCGTTACTCTCAGACCCATTGGTGCATACAGATAACACTAACAGTAGAACATAAGTACACTACCGTTCAAAACTTTGGAGTTGGAAAGATTTTTACAATGGTTCTGAAAAAAGTTTCTTTATGCTCACCAAGGATATTTTTGTTGTTTTAAAAAAAAAAAATGGTAAATGTGAAATATTTTTACAATTTAATGACTTTTTTCCTACTTCAGTATCTTATAAAATGTATTTTATTGCATGTAATTATCATGTGGTGGCAAAGCTGAATTTTCGGCTGCCATTAGTGTCACGTGATAATGATCAGAAATCACTCTAATATGCTGCTTTAGTGCTTAAGAAACATTTCTTTTTATGACATTCCTAATATCTTTTGGAAATGTTTGTGTATTGCTGTCACTTTGATCAATTTAATGCATCTTTGTTGAAAATAATTATTAGTTTCTTAAAAAAAATCTTACTAAACCCAAACTTTTGAATAATCTGTATGCACATACAATTATCTTATAAGTACTACATACTGCGTATCATAGTTCATATCTAAGTACATACATTGCTGGACTATTACGTTATCAAGTCAAGTCAAGTCTGCTTTATTGTCAATTCTTCCACATGTACAGCACATACACACAGAGAATTGAAATTGCGTTACTCTCAGACCCATTGGTGCATACAGATAACACTAACAGTAGAACATAAGTACAGATAGATATAGTTATATTATTAATTGCATGTTTTAACAGACCTCAGTTCAATTTAATGATCTCTTCTGCACAGAAAAAACTCAAAGGTCCAAAAAAGAGGGAAGATCAATTTGATTGGTCGATTACAACTCACCACAGAGAGAATGCGTGAAGAAGAAAATGAGGTCATAGTGCAACTTAGGATATTACGCACACAGGTATTGAAGTTATGAGCCTATCACTTTCACATGATCTTAATGATTGAGATTTGTGTATTTATAAATATGATCATATGTTCAGTCACACCTACTCATTCTTTATCGTCCACATTTTTGAATAATGGTAAAGTAATCAATCTATGAATTAATTCAAACAGAAGTTTGCATTAGAAGTGATTTCATGAGGTGCATCCTGGGATGCTTTTCAAACAGTGTTGAAGGAGTTCCCATGTAAGCTGGGCACTGTTGGCTGCTTTTCCTTCACCATCTGGTGCAACTCGTCCATTAAATTTTTTTTTTCTATGAAAATGTTTTGTAAGGACATTCATGTGCAGGCATTTTAAATACAGTTACATTTGTCTACTAAACTAAATTCAAACATTTAAGCAGAAACCTGTAACACAAACATTTCAGACGAAACGTTTCTCTGATATGCTGATGTAAACCTCATTTGTCACCAAGTTCTTCTTCCTCACTCTGTACAGGAAGCTATCATTCAGATTATGAAGATGAGGAAGAGGATCAGCAATGCTCAGCTTCAGACGGAGCTGGTGGAGATCCTAAAGAACATGTTTCTGCCCCAGAAAAAGATGATCAAAGAGCAGATCGAATGGTTGATAGAACAAAAATACATCAAACGGGACGAGACGGACATTAACACATTTATCTACATGGCGTAGCCGACCACGCCCAGTGTACTCTGGGACGTTTTTTTTAGACACTAGCTCTCCTTTGGAGGATTCCATATCTGATTTCAACTCATTGCCCAGCTTGGCCTGCTGGGTGATTGACTAGATTTATCTCAAGACACATCACGCTGAGAAATTACTGACAAATCCCTGCCTTACTTCACAAATCTATGAAATGAATAAAAGCAAACTTTGGAAGAAATAGAGTAAAGTGAGCAGAATCTCTGTGGCTAATTTATATGCATCTTGTGCAAACTTTTAACCTCTGCTATTGTTCATTTGGGGGTCACACTTGTGTTGTCCGTGGTCAAAAGTGACCAAACACCTGAAAGGTAACTTTTTTTCAGTAAAATCAATGTCATATATTTGTGTTCAATAATATATGTATTTTGGGAGAATTTCATGGTACTAATGAATATTTATGCAATGATTATGATAAAAAATTTTCCATTGAAAATAAAACATTTGTTTTCTAATATTTTTATATTGCTTTTCAATTACGGCAGTATTTCATGTTAAAATTGAGAATGCCTTTAAAATCCAATTTTTGAAGGCAGATTAGTGCCATCTGGTGGGAGTTAAACAATGAAAATCATCTGCAATTCTATGGTTTAGCCACTAGATTCCTATATAGCTATATAAAGGCTTATAAATGCTCTAGTTGTTTTTAGACAAAAATACTTGTTTTTATTAAGTTGTGGATTTGTATATATATTTAGACATTCTCAAAGACAACTTTTTGTAAAGGTTTAGATTTTTTTTTTTTTTTTTTAAAGTTCGTTTGAAATGTCAGTTTTTGCATTAATTTTACTACAGTAAAACCGGAACACAGAGAAAGACAATTTGTTACACACAACATCAAAAATTAACAGGAAGGCTTTATCAGAGGTTAATCAATCTGATTTCAACCTTTTATTTGAGTGTTCTTGATTAATTTTGCCATATTGTTACAGCCACACAAGTTAATTTGTGTGTGTGAGTGTATAATTGTGTGTGTGTGAGTGGGTGTGTCTGTTTTGCATTTTTGATGTTTTAACCCCTTCCTTGGTGTCTGTGTTTTTACTGCATTGTGGCTGAATTATTGATTTTATTTCACACATTTGCAAACATGCTTTGAGTTGCTGTGCGCTTTTTTCTGTATTGTGAATGATTTGTAGATTGTACACTCAAAAAATTATCTGTATTTTCATATTTTTGCGTATTTCCCGTTCATTTCCAGTGGAGAAGTGTGACTATTTTTTACGACCATTTGGCTTTTTCAAATCAAGTCCACAAATTTATTTTTATTATGTATATATATATATATATATATATATATATATATATAATTTATTTATTTATTTTTGTGGTCACATAGCGACTGTTTCATGAACCATTCCGATGAACTGACTTTAAAAAGTTATGACCAGTCTTGAAGAAAACAAATTAGATGACTAACTCTTTAAGACTAGTCTAAGCAGTTTATACAACCGGCCCTAGAGGGTTAATTGTTTTACCACCTTCGACATCAAGGCACTAGGTGAAAATATTGTTTACGTCATGAAAAAGCCGTCCAGCTGTGTTCATTTTGAGTTCAAGGCTGGCTTATCAAATTAACCTAGCTCTAAACATCCAATAGTAAACAACACATGCCTTTCATTGCATAAGGAAATGTAACGTTCAGGCCAATTGTGTTGTTAGTGATCAAATTATCCACATGATTCACAACATGATATGTTATTGCACAGAACTGCAGGCCTCGGGCAGTTTTTCCTCAGTTGTTTTACCCATCAGCTCAGTCTCTGCTTAGTGTGTCCCTGTTTGTCTCCCTAGTGGCAAGTTAACAACGTACACTGCCGCTGTCCATGGTGCTGATGAGATGGCCACTTGCTCCCGACTATAAAACTGGAAGAATGGTGTTATGAGTTACACGCTAATGCTCTTGAATAATGTCTCTCTTTCTGACAAACACGACAGAATGCATCATTTATTTATTGTTGCAATCACTGTGTTATTGTCAGTGTGTGTGTGCGCGCGCGTGTGTATATATTGGCGTCTACCCCGCCGCACATGCTCAGATTAGGAGTTCCCCCTCCGCTCGTAGGCCCCTCCCAGACACGCGTGAGAGTGATCCGGAGCTCGGAGAAGAGCCTCAGTTGCACGGGACCACAAGAACGTCGCTGGATCCCGGGAGGACCGGAGCGAGAGACGCCACCGTGGGACTGGAGTTGTGCTCAGGTAAAAGATTATTTCACATACAGCGAGGGCGTGCGGGTCTGTTTCATGAGCAATGTGTGATATCAGATCAAATTTGACACGTTTAGAATGCGATACTGTAATTACCCGAACAAACGAGATGAGCGCGCTGATTTATGTTGATCGTCTTGCGTTTTAAGCGCGAGAGGTAAATCTGGCCACCTGACGGGACGCGTGCAGAGGCGAAACAATAATATTCCGCTTTTATTAGATGGAGATTCGAAGCGGTTGCAGGCATCAATTGTCATATATTTAAAGCTAGTGTGTGAACTGGAAGCCTACTGCATCTCTTCGGTGCATTCGGGCAAAGTAGAGCCCAATTGTTCTTGAACAGCAAAGGAAAGCACTTTCCGTTGTATGTCGTTAATTAGTTGTCCCCACGCCTTGCGTTTCTTATTAAGATTAGTTTGACCAGCGGGCTGACAGGAGTGGGCAGTTCCTTGGTCCTTAACGGGAACCTTACTGTGTTTAACTCAGAACAGTTAATGCAACGTTCATCTGATGACATGTTTGTTTGAATGGTGAAACCTTATGGTGTAGTGCCGTCAGTGATGGGTAATCTGGTTGACCTAATCAGATCAAGCATTTGCAATTAGTCTACATTACATTTTAAAATATATGAATTAGCTACACATTGATAACGGTTTTGATTACTAATCTATCAGGCAGCAGTAATAACTATATCTAAACTAAATTATAATAACTAAATATCTTTAAGGGATCTATCACTGTGCAAAGCAATTTATGCTTTCCAAGAAATGTACCTCCAAATTATACATAAATGACAAAAGACCACTGCAAATTAACTCCCCATTATAAAATTCAACTGGTTGCTATGTTTTAGGACATTCTACCTGTGGTATCTAGATGATTATTTGCTGGTCAGGTGGTTGACCAGACACCATGTTCTAAACATGGAGAGCTCGTAAACTTGATTTTTACTAGTCTGTCGAGTTCATTAAGTCTGTTCTAGCTTGTCTAAATTGGTCCAATCTGGTCATTAGCTGACTGATTAGTCACCATGTTCTACTTCTAATACCCAGATTGCGTACCTTAAACTGTTATGACCAACTGGTAGGTGTTTTATTGCTACTCTAGAGTTTACTACTCTTAACTAGTTCACTAGGTGTGTTGTAGCTGGTCTAAGATGGTCATTAGCCTAGTCCATTCTGGTCATTAGCTTGTTGACCAGCATGTTCTAAAAGCCAGCTTGACCATCTTAAACTGGTGTGACCAGTTGGTAGCTGGTGTGTTTACCAGCTAATGACCATTTGAATTCAATTAGTTAGATGCTTACCAGCTAATGACGATCTTAGACCAGGTAGAAAGCTGCTGCTATGTCCCAAAATAAAGCTACCATCTAAAGAGTGATCCAGCGGGGCTAATGAACTTTACTAATTTACTAATCTAAATAGTTCTATTCTTATTTTATCAACTGGATGGTCAGCCACAGTGCTCCATAAACCAGCTTGACCACCATAAATGTGATGACCAACTAGTAGCTGTTTACCAGCTAATGGGGATCATCTTAGACTAGCTAGAAACCAGCCACCATCTTAAACTGTATTTTTACTAGTTTTTATTAAATTACTAGTCAAACTAGTTCACAACTGTTTATTGAAATGTACAAATTAGGGACGTTTTATCAAAACTTGCAATTAGTGATATAATCATAGGCAGATGATGATGATATATGTATATTTCTGTCGAAATAGTTCAAAATTGTTCTTGTTTGTGACACTAAAGAAAAAAAAAGTGTTGAGATTTTAGTTTTAGTCATGCAATTTGTAGTCAGTAGAAAATTGCATTTCAGAAGGAACCCATCCAACACTGACTGCAGTACATTTTAAATGTAGCATATTTTGTAATAGTGATGGATTCAGCAATGCATGTTTTGAGTGTTCATTGTAAGTCATGGAGTGTTAGGGGTAATTCTAGGCATACTGTATGGTTGGTGAGATGACATGCTACATGATCTATTCATGAGGCGGCTGCAGTGACGCAGCTGGGATACCCTGAAATGGTGATTGTCAGAAAGGGGAGGGGGTTTTCATCATCTTTGGTGCACTGTCTCTCTGCCTGCTATCCAATGCAGCTTCCTCTAGCATTCTCACGTTTTTCTCCATCTACTCTACCCCTCTTTCTACTACCACAGTAGGAGTTTCTGTAGGTGGTGCACCACAGTGGCCCTGCCATCCCGTGGGATTCATACAGTGCATTTTCTTCAGGAACTCAATTTTCTGGGTCTCACTCTGCTCTATTAAGCATTATGCTTAATGTGAAAAAAGTCGAGAGACCATAAATTCCATCATTCCGCTACCATGCTTGTAACCTTTTATGAGCTAATGGTACATAAGTTGGCTGTGAGGGAGAGTCAAAAGGCCACTATCTGTCTGTCAACTAGCATATTACATCTGTCATTAGGCTTAAGGCATTCCACATTCATAAAACCTTATGAACAGATGCATATGGTAATCACATAATATTCTTGCTGCTTTGATCCCTCAGTTCTACTCTTTGGAACCCTGAAGTGTGAATTCCACTTGCAAGCCTCAGCACTCCCTACCTGTTTCCTCCCGTCAGGAGGTAGAGGAGAGATGGTTTGCCTGTGTGGTGGTCTCACTGATATCACGACTTAGTCACGAGATGAGGCCAGGCACCATCTGCCGTGCTGGCTGTCCAACTGCAGTGTTTTCATTTCCTTAGGTGCTCCAGTCAAGTGTACTGTACAATCCAGTTAACCAAACCGAGATGCTATAAAGCATTTTAAAGGGAAATTACTGTTTCAGTACACATTAAGCTCAATCATGTACATTTGTGGCTTAATGTTGATTACCACAAAAATTGATTTTCACTTTTCTTGGAAAAAACCAAAGGCCTTGTTTACAATGAGGCACTTACAATGGAAGTGAATGAGGCCAATTTGTGAACTTTTAAAATCCGCACCGTTTCAGTAGTATAGCCATGATTTGTTAACAATGCGCATATTAAGATGTTATGTTAATAATGAAAATTGTCTAATTTTATAAGTTTGTCCCCATGACAACTTAACACCATAAACCCTAAAAAAAATGATAACCAGCTTTACAGCTCAAATAATATGCAAGTTTTAACTCTTTCATAGGTAAGTTGGCTGACCATAACATATAATTTTTCTTAGACTTAGATTTTTGTTTGTGATAATCATTGTTATTTTAGTATTATTTATATGTAGTATTTATTAATATTTTGAATTAACTTTTATTTTTATATTTTCCATTTTCATTTTAATTTTTGTTTGTTTTAGTTCTTTGTACTCTTGTCATTTGTAATTTTTTTATTTAAATTTTGCTTTTATTTATAATTTTAGTACTTAAACTTATTTTATTTCTGGTAGTTGCCATGGCAACATTTTGTTTCATCTAAAATGTATATATATATTTTTTTTTTTTCAGCTTTATTTTAATAAAGAAAACTATTTTAATAGTTTTAGTTTTAGTTAACTGTAACAACACTGGTGGTAATCAACGTTGTCACAAATGCTGTCAAGCTTACGTTACTTATATTGAATCCAGAATATTATAACTTGCGATGCTGTTGTTAGTACAATCGCCAATAAATGAGATCATCAAGATGTGGAAGAAGCTTCATCCCACATTTGATAACTTGATATTGCTTGACCATATAATGATGAAGCTGTTATCATCTATGACTCCAGTCTTTACATGGACTGGCCGTAGAATGACATAAGCTAGTTTTCTGTCATTAGTGCAGAGAGAATGGGCAGAAAGCTGAAGACATAATTAATCTTCCTGAAGGTCTGGGAGTGGAGATTAATAATTCACCGCAGCTCGACTTGTTCAGCTCTCGAAACTAGCCTCTGAGAGAGCTGTGATTGACAGACTGCCCATGCTTATTCCATAATGTGACACAAATGTTCCTGTTGAAGAAGGTGATGAGCTCTTTACCTGAGTTGACAGGAACAAGAGCGCCTTGTACTGTGTCAGAAAACACATCGCAAATGTGCAGAGAAATGGACAGAAAGATCCTTTTCTGTAGATCTGGACAGATATGTAGAGCTGTAAGCAGCATCTCTGGATAAGATGTTCTCAAGTTTCGCTCATCTGAACTACTTTCAAACTCTTGAATAGCTCTTATAGACTCATTCAGTCAAAAAAGGTATTCCCCAGTCAATGGAAGAGGGGTGCTAAACCGACACACTCATCCCAGTAGGCATCGCTTTTACACTACTAGTCTCTGAGATGAATACAGCCCTGTAATGATAAATTCCTGTTCAACCTGGATTTGAAGCAAAGTGTCCCAGCAGCGCCGAGTCACAGTGACATGGTTCCTGCCACGTGACTTCATCGCCTCCTGCCAGGCAGAGTAAGTGTGTGCTGTAGATTATCAATGCTAGAAGGACGCGTTCCTTCCGATCTCTAAAAGAAAGCAGTTGCATTGTGATCGTATATCTTTTGTTTGTCTAGTCTAATTGTGTTTTTAGATTCTCTCAGTCTCATGGAGTCTGGCCAGGTGCGCACTTTTGACTTTGTTTGGTCCATTTTGCAGCTTACACTGACCTAGAAATGCCCACTTAGACAGGAAAAAAGAAAAACAACAACATCTGACCAATATGCAAAGTGACCAGGTAGAGTTTGTTTTATTTTATTTGACATTCAGGTTATACATTAACGTCCAAAGTTTTGAAGATTTTTTTTTTAAATATATACTCACCAAGGCTGCAATTATTTGATCAAAAAAATGCAGTAAAAACAATAATATTGTGAAATATTATTACAATTTTCAGTAGTTGTTTTAATATATAAAATGTAATTTATTTCTGTGATGGAAAAGCTGAATTTTCAGCTGTCATTCCTTTATGTATAACCCATACAAAGTGCACACACACAGCAGTGAACACACACCCAGAGCAGTGGGCAGCCATTTTTGCTGCGGCACCTGGGGAGCAGTTGGGGGTTCGGTGCCTTGCTCAAGGGCACCTCAGTCGTGGTATTGAAGGTGGAAGAGAGCACTTCACATTCACTCCCCCCCACCTACAATCCCTGCCAGTACAAGACTCGAACCCACAACCTTTGGGTTACAAGTCCGACTCTCTAACCATTAGGCCACGACTTCCCTTAACTTTTGGTGATCAGTTGAATAATAATTTGGTGATCAATTGAATAATAATAACAAACCAACATGGGAAAATGAATTCAAATAATGTCAGTTATGTTAGTTAGTATGTCAGTTAGAATGTCAAATAATCTAGTTAGCTTAGCCACTAAGTACCCCAAACAAAAGATTTGATGCGGCATACCTGTCAAACATTTCCAACTGATAAAACTTGTGCTCCCACACCTCCAGAAAGCATTTCATTTTGGAACTGGTGGTGAATTCACTCCATTTTTATGAGCAATATGCTTGAAACAAATAATGAACGAACACAAAGTTAGAAAGTCATGCACGCATGCACACAAATGTTCCTGTTAAAGAAGGTGATGAGCTCTTTACCTGAGTTGACAGGAGCAAGTGCGCCTTGTACTGTGTCTGCACTGCATCTGTCTGACATTGCCAAATCTCTCTCTCTCTCTCTCTCTCTCTCGTCCCTTTGTAGGCTGAAAGATGTTCTCCTCTGTGAAGGCCTTTGAGGGGCAGCATTACTCCAACCTCAAGAGGCAGTGTCTACAGAGTGAACATCTGTTTGAGGACCCACTGTTCCCTGCCGTAGATGACTCCCTCTTCTACCTGGGTAACAGGATCGGCCGTGTGCACTGGAAAAGACCCAGGGTCAGTGCTCAGAACTCAAGTCTCACAGTTCTTCATTTAACAGATAGCATAAAGGATGGGATATACAGTAGGTCTGCACTGCTTTTTGGAAAGAGATTGATTTTACTTTGTTAAACCTTTAAAACAGAACCTTAAAGATGAACACATTCAGTTTATTTTAAAGTTAATCTATTTACATTTCAAGTTAAGTCAGCTGTGTTTGTATAGTGCTTTTCACAATGCATATTGTTTCAAAGCAGCTTTAGAGAAAATCATGATGTTAATGTTTAGAAGTAAAGACATTTATAATGATGAAAAAGGTTTCTATTTCAAATAAATGCTGTTCTTTTGAACTTTCTGTTCATCAAAGTATCCTGAAAACAAGTTGAGAAATGCTAGTACTGCTTACACATTGTTTAAATTACTAATAATTACTTATAAATGGCCATGCATACCAATAAATATAGGTCCTTTAGTTTTTGTCTTATAGTCTAGATGCTCAGCAAGATGCTGAGAAATTTTAGAACAGCGCTGATGTGCTAAAAATTGGATCCTGCTTGTTATCAATCGATATATACGTTGATCAGTAACATACTGTTGGTAATTCATCATCAGTCTAATCAATAATCAGTGTTACTGTAAAGCCAAGGCATAAGGAAAGGTCAGTCTAAAGCATTCATCTGTAATGGAGGTCTGTCATCCATCACTGGATGACACCCCTTACCAAAAAGAAGTATACTTGAGTAAAGTTCAAGTATAGTTTTAAGTATACTTTTTGTAGTAAGTATACAAATATCAGTGTACTAGTAGTATACTTGTAAGTGTACTTCAATACTCCTTGGGACTAAATTGAACCACTTTCTATTATATAAAGTATACTTTTAAGAATACTTTAAGTATAACAGTAGTAAAATTTGAGTACACAACTAGTTTACATCTGTGTTTTTAGTTTGTACTGCAACTATACTAAAAGTGAACTTATAGGTATACTGATAGTTTGCTAATTAAATATTTATTAAAGCATTTTTAGTACACTTTGAAGTATAGTCTCAGTAAACTACTAGTTTAGTGGTTTATACTGCAAGTATACTCGTAAGTTTTCTTTAAGTGAACTTTACATCATACTTTAAGTATACTACTATGTCCCTATTTATGTATTAATTTGTATATATTTTGTTATATGAATATCTGAACATACAAACGTCAATAGAAAGAACAGGGTATCTGCTTGTAAACAAAAACATTTTATTCTAGCTCCATGCATTCTTTTTTATAAACACATGAATGCGGGTAAGTTTCATAAAAAAAATTTAAAAATTAAGAAATAAGATTTTGAACAAAAAGCTAAGACTATGAATTGGATTCAGAATGATTATCAAAACGTAGATGGAGTCGATCTCCCCAAAGCTCTTCATGGGTCGACATTTTATTCCATAACGTTACACAGTTTTGATGCTGTTTTATGTCTGATCGTGTTACTAGAATACATGTGGAAGCATCTGTTGTTTCGGTTTCTTCTTCACTTGTGTTTTTTGGAAATTCTGTACAGAAGATTATATGAATATCTGAACATACAAACGTCAATAGAAAGAACAGGGTATCTGCTTGTAAACAAAAACATTTTATTCTAGCTCCATGCATTCTTTTTTATAAACACATGAATGCGGGTAAGTTTCATAAAAAAAATTTAAAAATTAAGAAATAAGATTTTGAACAAAAAGCTAAGACTATGAATTGGATTCAGAATGATTATCAAAACGTAGATGGAGTCGATCTCCCCAAAGCTCTTCATGGGTCGACATTTTATTCCATAACGTTACACAGTTTTGATGCTGTTTTATGTCTGATCGTGTTAGATTACATGTGGAAGCATCTTTTGTTTTGGTTTCTTCTTCACTTGTGTTTTGGAAATTCTGTACAGAAGATGTGTAATAGCGCCTCCTACAGGATAGCAATGAAAACATGGATTCCCGGAGCACAAGTATAGCTCAAATATATTAAGACTTTTTCTAAGTATAAGTCAAGTATACTTAAATGTCATTTTAAATATATATTTCTGAGAAGTATATAAAGCACATTTCTGAAAAGTACATAAAAAGTAGACTGAAAGTATAATAATAGTAATAGTACACTTTAATAAACTTCTTTTTCATAAGGGACAGAAATTCCAAAAGTAAATTATAGTTTCTGTTGTTGCTGCTCATCATGACGGTTTTCCTGTGCTTCATTACTCTTTTCTGAGTTAATGATACATTGCAGCTTCCTAAAAACTATCTGTAACAATTCGAATCCCAGGGATGCTGCGTTATACTACCATCCCCCCCCCAACCCCATGCCCGTCTCGCCCAGGGGCATACTAAGTGTCAAGCCTGTCCAAGTCAATTATCCCTTTCTCTCACTCACTCACTCACTCACTCACTCCTGGAACGATGCCCGACCCAGAATCTCATTCGCGCACACACTCGCTCAAACACACCAGTGAAGTGTCTGAATTGCAACCACAGCAGCTCCTGTCGTCATTAATTCAGGCTATAATTGAGGCGGACACTATAGTTGGTTCTGTCCGTACCACAGTTCAACACTGCAAAGCTAAAATCTCCACCTTCTTAATGGGCACAGAAGGAGCAGCGGGGAATGTGGGAATATAGGGATCAAGTACAGTGCTAATATCACATTCATTGTGTTGTAGTGATAATTAAGACTATAGAGACTGAATAATGATGCTCAGACTGTCTCTGCATTTGAATTCATATTTTTTTAGATTGCTTAATGGGATTGTGAGGAATATTTTTGACTTTTAAGATTTGATGGGCTTGTTTTTATCTGATTGCTTTAGTTTATTATAGTTTAGTAGAGTTTTGTTTTTCTAGCTATACCTGCACTTACTATCTATCATGCTTATTTTTTCATTTCTGTTCCTGACACTTTTAATTTCATTATTATCCCATTGCTGGACTTTAACGTCAACATTATTCACAACCTATTATGTGATGTGAAGTTTATATGCTATTATTATTACTGTAACCTTTAATAAATGAATGTTAACAAACATTAAATTACTGCATAAAATGTACTACCATTCAAAAGTTTGGGGTCAGTAAAATTGTTTCATATTTTTGAAAGAATACTGTCATTTTACCAAGTACAGTAAAACCTGTGATATTGTGAAATATTACAATTTAAAAAACTTTTTTCTAATTTAATATACTTTAAAATGTAATTTATTCCTGTGATGCAAAGTTGCATTTTCAGAAGCCATTACTCCAGTTCTTATATGCTGATTTGCTGCTAAAGAAACATTTCTTATTATCAATGTTGAAAACATTTGTGCTGCCTAATATTTATGTGGGAACCTTGATACATTTGTTTCTAGAATTCTTTGATAGAAAGTTCAAAAGAGCAGCATTTTTTGAAATAGAAATCTTTTGTAACTTTACAGCTGTCTTTACTATCGCTTTTGATCAATTCAATGCATCTCTGCTTTATAAGAGTATTCAAAAACATTGTACTGACCCAAAAACGTCTGAACAATAGAAATACTTCATAGCTATTTGACTAAACGAATAGCCTGCATGGCCTATATGTAATAAAGTGATTCCACAGAGGGGTTTGATACATTTTGATAAAAGATTACAAAAAATACCATTATTTTTCATTTGGAATAACATGCACTGATGAATCAGCAGGAACTTATGTTATGAAAGTAAATGGGGCCAATTTTGATTCATTGTTGACTTTAAGCCTGCATGGCCTATATGTAATAAAGTGATTCCACAGAGGGGTTTGATACATTTTGATAAAAGATTACAAAAAATACCATTTTTCATTTGGAATAACATGCACTGATGAATCAGCAGGAACTTATGTTATGAAAGTAAATGGGGCCAATTTTGATTCATTGTTGACTTTAAATCACTCACCATCAAGAGGATCCTGATTTGGCATGTTGACATGTTGTTTGTTGTTCCGGAACTGTAAAAATTAAATGCTCCTGACTCTTTCCATTTTTGACGTGAATGAAGCCATTGCCACAAATCACTCTGACTGAGTGAATGCCATTAAGAGTTTTAATGCAGTTCACCGCAGCTGCTTCATATTTCACTGCCCCCCCACCCACCCCACCTTGGGTCCTTGGTCGTGCTTTTTTAACCACTTGCCATCCCTCACTCCCACCCGCTTCCTTCCATTTCTTGTCACCTCTGCTCTCCAAAGAGAAGAAAGACTGTGATTTATGAGTTGAAGCCAGTGGAACAGGTGATAGACGGTCATTTATCCAGACTGTGGGCTCACTGGTGTCTGGACTGAGCTGAGTTTGTGTTCAATGATTCTGTGACTGGTCTGGTGTTCTGATCGGTCTTATTTGTCAAAGCTGGCCAAGACAGACTCATATTAGCCTGTGAACCCTCAATACATGAGATACTGTGAAAGAAACACACACACATAAAAGCTTCTAGCCCCAGGAGAGGGTTGCCCCTTGGATTCCATTTTGGGCTGTGATTAAAAAGTGTGTGTGTGTGTGTGTTCGCAGAGGTGGCTGGAGTGCTGAGCTATAACACAATGACCTTGCACTCTAATCAGTCAGCTCTCCCATCCTCTTAACACTCACTCACTCACACACACACACACACAATACTCCATAATAGCTACTAACCCACAAATTCTGCTCTGAAGAGAGCATTCACACACAAACAATATCTTTTCTTTCTCTCTGTCAGCGACTTTGTCTCAGCGTCCTTTGTTCCATAACTGAACAGGGTAGACTATAGACTTGTGAAGGATGTTAATGTCCACTTTCAGGCTTTCTAGCTGTGAAGGTAATCGCAAAAACCTCAGAGACTAAATGCTCGTCAAATAAAGGTTGATGTATTGCACCCTGGAGACAAATGGTGGTGTTTTTTCGGCCCCTGAGACAAGAGGAGCCCATTAAGGTTCTTTATAGTTTAGTCTGATTGGAAGTAGCCTACTGTGAGCTGCCTAAGTAGGAACAATTTAAAAGCATCATACCCTGTTGAAAAAGGGGAAAAAAACAAAAAACTTGTCTCCCATCCTGGCCAGCTGAAAAGTGGCCAAAGCCCTGGCTGAAAATGTGGTCAGCCAGAGTTTTTGAATATTATTTTAATAAAATATTTCGAATTCGTTTTTATTTTTTATATTGTAAATTTTCATTTTTTTTTAAGTAATTTAGTTTTGTCTCATTTTTGTAAGGTTTTTTTTTTTTTTTTTTTTTTTACTTTTCATAGATTTTTATTTCGGTTTTTATTTGACTAATTTGAGTACTTCAGCTTAAACTTTATTTCATTTATTTGCTAATGCAACATTTGTAATTTTTCTAATGTTTTTCATCAAATTTTTATATTTCATTTAATTTAATTTAATTTCAGCTTTATTTCAATTACCAATAATAATTTTAGTTTGAGTTTTAGTTAATAACAATGTATTCAGAATCATTATGTTGCCTTCTAAGATACCTATTTTTGGACAAATGAGCATTATATGTATAACGTATGGATGAACTTAGAAAAAAAAGCTGTCCAACCAAAATCAATATAAAATGTTGAACAAATTTATGTTATAAATCATTCAGTACTGAAAAAATTGATAAAAACAGTAAGCATGATTAATCAGTCTAATTAAAACATGACTTTTTTTTTTTACCTAGTATTTATGTCAGTCTTTTTCATTTTTATGCCTTTTGTGCAGCCTATGATGGCGTTAGCTTTGCAGCATGCTAATGCCAGAGTGAACAGCTGTATTTGTATTGCCTTTGTAAATAGACTAAATATGTCATATCTTGTTTTATGAGGTTTATTTTAGTTTGGACACACACAACTGCACACACAAATGGCTTCTTATCAGACAAGTGTTTTATTGATTAAACTGATGTCAGAGCGCTTTTGAAGCTTTTAAATAGATTTGCTAGATTCGTTGCTGTTCACTTGTTAATCAAAAATCTGAATCGTAAAGAACTGTCAAAAATTAGAAGGCAGCAATGAATCATGTTACCGTGGATTGATATTTAACCTATTGTTATTTTAGATATTTAACCTTAACCCAAAGACCTGGCATTGCTCTCAGAGGGATGATGGTGCCTTGAGCCAACTCGCAGCGAACCAAATTTGTATTCTTGTCTGAGTCAAACTTTGACTGAATAGCATATTGTAATGAATGACAGTGGTAATATCGAAGGGTCTGATGGAAAATCAGTCATGCACTGTGATTGTAAGGTTTTTCAATGCAGACCACGAACAAAAACAGAGTTGTAGTGTCGCCGTCTGGGTTTCTTGGCTCTGGAATAGAGAAGTGTGTCTACCGTGTGCTTTGTGTACGTGTTTCACCTTGTGAATTTGGCATCATTGCACTCCGTTCTCACACACCATGGGGGCATGATGAAATGTCTCATCTCTAGTGGTTTGTGTGAGTTGTTGAAAGGGTGAAAGAAGCCCAGCGCTGAAAGAATGAAATGTTGCGCGTGTGAGTGCAGGGCTGGATGGGTGCCGGATAGCGAGGAGAGGCCTCGCCTGCTGAGCTGTGGAAATGATTTCGGATAGCACAATGTGAAAAACAAATGAGTGTTGTGAGAGCGAGTAAATTCGGACTGTGAGAACATGTATTTTATAGCTCCAGAGACTAACCGAACCAGCAGGGGTGGCATGCTCAAATGGTTTTCAAGGGGATCTTGGCTCAATTTGTACCTTAGGCGAGATGAGACATGACAACTGGGAGGAAAAAAAAACTTTTTAATAACTTTGTAATTCTTAAAGTGTGAGACTTGTTAGACTAGCAGTTATGTCTGGGTAAAAATTTAGATTTCATGTACATTCTTAATAGTGATTCATAAAATCTAAGACCAAAATAAATTTTCAGGTTTCTGAACTGCATGCAAGAAGAAAAATCAATGTGTGTGCTGCAAAATAATGGCAAGAAAACAAGTCTTTCTATTAAGCATTTAGTCTTTTACAGGGCTCATTTGTGGCGACTCCTTTGAGAGATTGTCAACACGGTGGCAAAACGAGCTATAGCCTGTGAATCGCTACATTCCCCTCAGCTTCTGTCACTGTGCCCAGTGTATGCCAGCTGTTTAAAGAGACCCAGACCTTTATGTTTAGGTCACTCAAAATCTCTGGCTACCCATTGTTTCTGGGCTATGTGTCGTGGTGGTTTTGACGAGGTCGGTGTAGAGGTGTGCTAGATGCCGTCAGAGCAGAGGAGAGTCATTTGATTAGAGTTTCAGAACTCTACTGCTTCATCTAGATTCATAACTATAATTAAATTAATTAAAGAGCCTGTGCCCTGCTTCTGTCTCCAACACTTTTTCAAGTACTGTGTTTTCCTCCTCCTTACATTAATCAAAATAAAGCAAAATGTACTATATTTTTTTGATCAAAGTACTATGTTTTTGGACATGGTTGCTGCAGTCTTTCTTAAAAGATAAATTTGTTTATTCCAAGTACATCTTTGCCATTCATGCTGTGCTTTTCTTCTCACCAGTTTATTTCTCTTATTTCTCTCTCTGTTTCTCCATCAGGAGCTGTGCGATGATCCTCGCTTGTTTGTGGATGGGATCAGTGCCCATGACCTGCACCAAGGGCAGCTGGGAAACTGCTGGTTTGTGGCGGCCTGCTCCAGCCTGGCTTCCCGAGAGTCACTGTGGCAGAAAGTAAGTTACTATAGAGTGTAAACATGTGTCTATCCTGCATATAATGTTCCCTCTAAGCTACAATGTTGTTGCCACGCAGCTGGAAAGAAATCAGCGCTAATGTTCCCTCTAAGCTACAATGTTGTTGCCGCACAGATGGAAAGAAATCAGCGCAGAAGACAGATACCATAATATTCATTCATATAAAATATAGAAATTTCTTAAATCAGAGCAAATACCATGTTTCACATGAAGTCCATCTTAATGTCCACTGGCTTTCAGTATGGAAGTGCAGCTGCCTGTGAGAAGACTTGTTGAAATACTCAGCATTGATTAATATGCAAGATAAAGAGAGCGTACTAGAATTTGGAGGCCATTATTAGTCTTGTGATCTTGACAAAACAGAAAAATAACAAAAACATGATCAATATCATTATTTTGTTATTATAATATAATCAAGTTTAATTATGTAATTATGTTAATGAATTGTTTAATTCATGAATTTTGAATAAAATACAATAATTATATTTAGAATTACTTTTCCCTTGATATTATTAATTGTATTTTGTCATATATTTTTCAATATTTATTTATTAATGTATTTGATAAAATATCAATTTGTGTACATTTTGTACACGTTGTTTAGTGTTTGTTTTATTTTTTACTGTTGATTCAAAATTCATAAATATATAGTATACTATATAATTCTGACATATATAAATATAGAATCATAGAGTTATATTATATTAAATTATATATCATTTTATGGCTGAATGGTTTGCCCAATAGAAATAGGTTTTTCTCAGCAAGCACAAAAAATAGTTAAGTACATGTATCACTTTTCCTCTAAGCTTGCAGACGTCTCACACAAGACCTGCGTTGTGGGATTTAAACCTGCATATTCTTGCATATTTTGTCAGAATATCTTCTTGTTATCTTACATATTGAGTGTATTAAAGTGTGAGGATGAGCAAAACAGTCTCTCTGAGCTCTATTAGCAGCTGTAAGTAGCATCCTGCCATAGTATCTGTGTGCTCTATTAGGAACCATTACCTGATTATGTTTAAACAGGAGAGAGGTCCACTCACCTGTGGCTTCATGAGTGTACACATGCATACCTCGTAGTGCCTGTATTTCAGTTTCTGTTGTAGTTTTGTTAGTGGTAGACAGTTAATGGTTAATGATTTCTGAGCTGTTATTTAGCTTAAATGTTAAGCTTCGGTCTCTCTGCATCCTCCCCAGGGTGTGAAGTGTTTTCCCCTGCCTAGGGAAAAATTTCCTCTCCCTTAGAAACACACATCATCATGAAGGGGTTGACTTTTAGGGCTTTCCCATGTGACTGCTCTCCCCTGTCCTGTTATTGATAAATGAAGGTGTGTGTGCTACTATCCTTGCCCCGTGTCTTTGCAGCAACCTTTTATCCCACCCAAACACATGCACTCAGCATGGATACATACACAATGGCAGTGGTTATCAACCAGGGGGCCACAAAATGACTTAAATCATTTAAAATAAGACAAACCATGCATTAAAATAAACTAAAACAACTAACAACCCCAACTGTTTTTTTCTTTGAAGAACCAGAATTCCTACAGTTTACAAAAACTTGGATATATAAGGTAGTCTGATTTTAAAAATATGATTTCTAGACCTGGAAAGTCATGAAAATGTATAGAATGTTATAACTCCATAGACATTTGCATATATATTTATTAATACAGTATAAATTTTATTAATATACATTTTTGTATTTAAACCAAGCTCAAAAATATTTTATCAGGTAGAAATTGAGAGTAAAATATTTTTTTAAATTCCTATTTTTAATCCTCATCCATAAAATCAACTAAAATAGGGGACATTAAGGACCTTGAAGTGAAAAAGATTGAGAACCACTGCTCAAGGGCACTGCCATCACACCCCAGTACAGTTATTTGCATCAATTATTTAAAGAATTAATAACTACAACCACTAAAAGCACAAGTTTTGCTTTATTCATGAATAATTTTAATCTTCTTGAATTATTAGTGTGATTTATGTTGGGTTACCTCCATTAAAGTTTCATTACAGTCAGAAAAACAGCTAAACATGAACAATCAGACAAATAAAGCTCATCAAATTGCATAAAACATTTAAGACCTGGTCATAACTTTACAAAATCTAATTTTATAGGTCTTTAGGAACATAATTTTAAACTGCTAGGTCTAGGTTAAGTAGACTGAATAGAAAGCCGTCGTACCCTTCAGGTTCTCTCACTTCTGGAACTCTATGGAGCACTCGATGTTCTTCGGACTCAAGCTGTCTTCAAAGGCGAACAAAAAATACATCACCTTGCGAACCTTGGCCAGCTCGGCTATCCTCCTGGGCATCAGCCTCGTAGCATTGAAGGAGTTCGTCATCTGCGCTTTTCCAGAAGAGCCCGGTCGGTTCGAGGAGCTGGCGGGTCATGAGGTGGGTGAGGTCGGGCGTCCAGAGCTGGGAGGTGGCGATGATGTTGAGGCAGCCAGGTGTGGACATGCGGATGTTCCAGCGGGTGAAATGCAGGGCCTGTTCGGAGAAATCCAGGTGGTAGACGTGCTCGTTGGACTTCAGTAGACGCTCTCCGTCTTGGCGTTTCTGGCCTCGCTGCTTTAGAGACTGTACGCGCAGACGCATCATCTCCGTCAGCTGTATATCAAGGTTGAACGTCAGCTCAAGAGACATGTTCCCAGTGAAGATGCTTTGAAACCTGACAGCTTAGGGCTTCTTCTTGTTTTTTTTTCTTCTCTTGTCTGACCGGATTAGGCTTGTTATCCACCGTGTGACCTCTGCTGATGTCTTCTGCGGTATGAGTGCCGTAGCAAGACCTTGTGCTCTGAAACCAACTTATTTCACAATTCTTCGCGGGTTTCTGTTTAGATGTTTGTTGCTCTGGGCAACAGAAATGCTGGGTTTTCCAAGAGGGAATTCGAGATATCTGTGTTTGATACATGTGTTTGTTTCACATTCACCTGTCAATAGAGTTTACGCATGACTGATTCCGTTAGAGGTGAACAGAACTGTGGGTCGGCACGTCACCTGCAGTCAGTATCACAATGTGTACCTGAGCCCAGTTAATGGACCTGCTCATCTTGGAACAATTACCAGAGAGGTGTACTTGAAATCTAATCTCTGTTCTGTCCCAGAGGACTCGCTCAGGATGAAAGAGATGTAGTTGTTCTATACAGCTTCCAAATCACCCTGGTGTCCTTCTCACAACTGTTTAACATTCAGGAAATGCTGCATCTGCCTGCATTTATGAACATTTAAATTGATAAGCAATGACATGAACCTTATCCACTAAATATTACACAATATTGGAAACTCATCTAGTTTAGTGCTAATTTTTATGGTGTTTTTGTTCATATTTTTTCTTTTGAATTGTTCAGTTTGAATGTCCTGTAAATTTTGTCATGTCATTAATTTTAGTTCTGTCATGACAACTCTCAGAGGGATTGGCATGGTAATGTACAAGACAATGTTAAAGGGGTCATATGATGTTACTAAAAAGAACATTATTTTGTGTATTTGGTGTAATGAAATGTGTTTATGCGGTTTAAGGTTCAAAAAACACATTATTTTCCACATACTGTACATTATTGTTTCTCCTCTATATGCCCCGCCTTTCTGCAATGTGTCGATTTTTACAAAGCTCATCGGTCTGAAAAGCGAGGTGTGCTCTGATTGGCCAGCTATCCAGTGCGTTGTGATTGGCCGAATACCTCAAGCATGTGACGGAAATGTTACGTCCCTTACCATATTGTGATGCCGTGTCCCGGCTGGAGGGACGAGACAAAAATATTAAAACCCATTATAAACGAGGCATTTGTTGCATCCAGTGGGGACATAATTACGGATTATAATGACTTATACTGTCTTTTTACGCATTGCGTTGCATAAAACCATGTCTGCATTTGTGATCGGAGAAATGACAAACAACAAGTGCTACTCTATACTGCTCAAAACTCGCGTTTGAATCGTCAGTGGCAAATTCTTTAAATATAAAAAACATACTTGCAGTCTGTGAGTCAGAACAGCCAGCATTGTAGTCTACTCTACCAGGATCAGGAAACAGTCCTATCCAGAACAGTTTGGGTTGAACTGTTCTGGAACAGTTTTGTAAATACAACTTAACTACTGATTTCTAGTCGTCTCCTCTTTTGGAAGGCCAAACAAAGTAGTTTCCCTTTTACAATGAAACACACAGCGTCACACACGGCGTGCTTGAGTAAGCGGAGGCCGGCGGGCTTGAGAACGGCACGGCCGGCGGATTCGACGAAGGAGCGGCCGGGCGGACTTGCGGCAACCACATGTGACGACCCCGGGCTGGAGTCCGCTTCGTCCACGGTGAAAGCTGATCCAGCGATCCACAGCGCCAAGTTGATGTATTTCCTCAGTGACCAGCACAGAATCAGCTCCAGGCATGATGAAGTGGATATCGTCCTCTTTTGGAAGGCCGAACAAAGTAGTTTCGCTTTCACAAAGAAACACACAGCGCCTTCACGACATGATCGGCGGCGGCAACAACTGCTGCAAGAATAAAAGTTATGCCTCCTTTCTTTGCGTGAACATTTGGGCGGCGTTATGCAAATCTTCCCACATCGTGACGTAGACATGTGGGGGCGTGTTAGAACGAGCCGTTTTAGGTAGGCGTGGTTGACTCTTAACTTTTATAAAGAATATCTCTTTGGATTTGAGACTTTAGTCTTTGCAACTTTACAGATCTTCTTTATGCACCAAGAGCTTGTAACACTCCAAAGAGAAAGGAAAAATTTAAATCGCATCATATGACCCCTTTAATGTATTTGGTCTTGGCGGAATAGATCTGCTATGCTGCTGCTGCGGCAGAGCAAGTACCGAGACTTGCTACTGCCAATACATCCACAACATGCTGCTGTAAGCATGTAAGAAACATAGCTGCTGCAAATATAAACATACATGAAATAACCCCATATAGCATACATGAATCACCTCGTAGCAGATCTATACAGGTCGAGCTGGGGAAGGTGGAGGGTTTCTGATGCATGTTGCGAACTGCTACAACAAGCACTAGTCATATATTTGAATGATGAGCAGCGAGCTCATTGGCTACCGATACAGGAGCGAACCAATCAGCTGTGCCATGTGATAATGATGTCATTAGGTCAGATTGAGTTAGACCTATAGGACTGCGCCATCTAGAGTTTCATGCCAGAACTCTGTATTTTATATTTATTTGACTCAAATGACAAATTACAAGAAATAAAATAAAACAAGAATAAGTGATAAAATATTTTTGTACTAAAATCAACTAATATTTAGTTGATGGTAATGTGAAAAATGGGGGGAAAAATCTAAATATTAACACTATTTTGTTCCCTAGTTCTTATTACCTAAATCTTAACAGATTTGCAGCAGTTTGACAACCACTCAGAAATGTACTAAAAACATGCGCTCTTATACAGTACTTACAGTAATTGTTCAGTACTTGTATCAGTTAGGGGTCAAAACACAAATAAATGTAATGAATAGAAAAAAACTAGAGATTATGCAAACCCGAAAGTTTCATCTGGCTAATAGGTCAAGTGTGTTGTTCTTATTAACAAAAACTATTAAAAATCATTAATCATGTAAATATGAAATGTAAATATTAGATGAAAAACATTTAAATAAAAATGAGAAATGTTGTCTTGGCAAATGGCAACTAACTGGAATAAATAAGGATTAAGTTGGAACTACTAAAATTACTGAAACTCAACTTAATTTTTTTAAGCAAAAACTAATAAAAATGACAAATGCACATAACAAAATGACAAAAGCTTAAATGATAAACTAAAATTAAAATAAAAACTGAAAATATAAAAAGTGACACCACATGTCACTTATGTCTCTTTCTAGGTTATCCCAGACTGGAAGGAGCAGGAATGGGATCCAGAGAAGGCAGACTCTTATGCAGGAATATTCCACTTCCGCTTCTGGCGGTTTGGGGAATGGATGGACGTGGTGATCGATGACCGTCTCCCCACAGTGGATAACCAGCTGGTGTACTGCCATTCAAATGATAGCAACGAGTTCTGGAGTGCCCTTGTGGAAAAAGCCTATGCCAAGTAAGCAGTTCAGGCAGCAGACAAATTCAAAAGGTCTATACAGAGACATACAAATTCAAGTAGTGTGATGACATAGTGATGCTAAGTTCTTTCTCTATACCAATCAAGAGTTTATGGCTGCTATGAGGCCCTGGATGGTGGAAACACGGCCGATGCCCTGGTGGACTTTACTGGTGGCGTGTCAGAACCCATGGACCTTCTGGAGGGCCAGTTTGCTCAGGATGAAGTCGCCAGAAACCAGCTCTTTGAGAGAGTGCTCAAGGTCCATAATCGAGATGGCCTTATCAGCTGCTCTATCAGGGTGAGAAGGATACAATACATACAATCTGCATGTACTAAAGCTACATTTTATTTTGTTTTATTTAGTTTTTTCTATTTTTTATTTAATTTCATTTTATTTTATCTGCACTTTGTTATATACACACATATATATTACATTTTCATTTTTATATGTTTATTTAACTTTTTTATTTTTCATTATTTTTTTAACTTTATTTTAGTATATTTGAGTACAGTATACTTTATATATTTTTTTTATATATTTATTCCTATGTTTATACATTGTGGAAGCACATATTGTGCATATTATTGATCAGCATTTGTCCCACGTCTGTCAAGATTTGTATTCAGACACTCATCTATTAATCCAGCCATCCATCATTTTTTTCTGCCTTTATTTATTTTCTTTCATAAGAGCGTACTTTCCCAGACTCAAAGCAATCTTTGATTGTGTGTGACTTGCTTATCAATGGTCTGTGAAACCTTTCATCCATGGGGAAAAAAATACATTTTTGAATATCTTCATAACTGGATTTTTTTTCTTCATTAGAATATAAAATAAAATGCCTCTCAATACTTCAGTCCACTAAGAGAACTCCATTGAGTGTTAAGTAACATTTAGAAATTCATCTGAACAGCATCATCTGATGTGACAGACAGGTCTGTGATGTAAGCAGGTTGTCTGGGGATCATAACAGAAACAGCTTTATCAAGTTTCACCATAACTTAAGGGCTTTTGTTCAAATGTGGAGGATAAAATGAAACATTGATTTATAAATGTTCTGTTAGATACTCAACAAAGTTCTTTCATGTCCAAGTTCAGTCACTCTCTGTCCGTTCTTACAACCTAGTCACAATTATATCGACACAATTATTCATGTCACGCCTATGCATATTGTCAGCTTCATTTGCACAGCAAGCCCTTTGTTCATTGGAGTGTGATAAATGGGTGTGGCTTGTCTCCTACTGATTAACATCACCATATTTCACTGTACCATGAAAAAAACGGCCCATGATTTCATAATTGATCATTCACAGACAGTGCATGTGCATGCATTCTGAACAGGGATAAAGATTATTATGCTTTTGGATAGACTTTAAATTTGGTGTTCAGCAATCTAGCTTAAATTTGACCTTCGGTATATAGGCAACCACAGTAGAGGACATGGAGGCGAGACTGGACTGTGGGTTAGTGAAAGGCCACGCCTATGCGGTGACCGACGTTCGCAAAGTCCGTCTGGGACATGGCCTGCTGGCGTATTTCAAGTCAGAAAAGCTACACATGATTCGCATGAGGAATCCCTGGGGTGAAAAGGAGTGGAGTGGACCTTGGAGCGATAGGTGAGACTGCCCCCTCCTGGATTGGAGGTCTTACAGCATCTAGAGCAGGGGTGTCCACTCCTGTTCCTGGAGGGCTAATGTCCTGTGGATTTTAGCTCCAACACACTTGCCTAGAAGTTTCTAATGAGCCTGAAGACTTTGATTAGCTGTGTTGGGGTTGGAGCTAAACTCTGCAGGACAGTGGCCTTCCAGGATCTGATTTGGACACCCCTGATCTAGAGCATAGTGTATGGCAGGGTTTGCGAACACCTGGGGATTTGTGAGGAAACTGCAGGGGGTATGAGAGTTGATGAAAAGCAATCAAAATAAAATCCTTACTAAAAACATGAAACATTTAATTTGTTTACTTGCATGTCATGTGACCATTAATCTAAATTAGAGAACGGTGAATATGCAGACCCTAAATCTCAGGGGGTACTTCAGGTAAATATATTACGTTGAAAAGGGTTTGGCTGACAAAAAAGTTTGGGAATAACCAGAAAGAAACAGAATTACTTTTTTTTTAAATTTTAATGACAGGACATGATGGGAGACAAGAGAGCTAAAGCCTTGTTAAGACTGTCAGTCTAAATCTGATTTTTGTGCACATCCATTTGGAATCTGATCATATTTAGCAAGTGTAAACAGCAAAAAAAAAAAAATCACATTAAATACAATTTTGTTCGACCTGCACTTCCCAAAAAAAGTCAGTATGTTTCCTACAACAGTGTCTGACATTTTTACGTTTTAAGTGGCAAAAAAAAAAATCTTATCAAAGCGGTCAGACTGAACGTCTCAGTTACGTATGGTAACCCTCGTTCCCTGAAGGAGGGAACAGAGACGTTACGTCGGATGACCGACAAATTGGGATCTCGGTTAGAGAGACCAATCTACTTTGAGTGTAAACTAAACAAGCCAATGCACATTGGCATGTGATTATTGCATCCAGCTGCCGCTGATTACAGCGTGAGTATAAGTAGGCAACAGATGCAGCGCATATTCAGGTTTTTGCTGAGGAGCCGAGCCGGTGACCCGGCCGCACGTACAGGAGCTGTGGCAACTGGACGTGATGTCACCGTTCCCTCCTTCAGGGAATGAGGGTTACCATATGTATCCGAGACGTTCACTTTCAGTCGGTCACTCTCGACGTCACGTCGGATGACCGACGAATTGGGATCCTCACAAAGGGCCACAGGTACTGCCCCTTCCAGTGTCCTGTGGAAGCCACCTGCGCCCCTACTTTTTGGCGTAGGCCAGGGCTTGCACAAGAGGACCAGCTACTGCTGCTATGGCACTACCCAATGAGTAAGACTGGATAACACTGGGAAAACGTACCTGTTCTACTTGGAACAGGGACGTTACGGAAGCTCCAACCTTCCCGAAGGAGGTTTCGGAAGCAAATACACATATGAACATTCCTTAGGTGCATATGGAAGATTGGAGGTGATTGTAACCCTCTTGGAATGGCAGAAGTCTGCCGGGGAAACACGGGCTCGAGGCTATACCGTGGACTTTACACATATGGGATCCACTTAGGTCTTACATATGGAACCCAGCCTTCTACCGGTTCTCGAGGATTCAACGAGTGAAGGCCTGGTGCCGGACGCTCCGCCACATCTGGCTACCGAGGGGACGGAGGAGCTCAACAGGGTCTACTATATGGACTCTCTGGAGTGGTTTTAGCAAGCCGACCCAAAGTCGGGGCTTCTCAGTGCTTCTACCCGAATTGAGGTGAGAACACAGGAAGATACCGGCTCCACACGAAGGCTATAGAATCTAGCGGACGTGTTAGGGGTCGCCCAGCCCGCAGCTCTTCAGATATCTGCCAGCGAGGCGCCATGAGCCAGTGCCCAGGAGGATGCAAAACTCTAGTTGAATGAGCTCGCAACCTGAACGGGCAGGGCACACCCTGTGCCTGATACGGCAGGGTGATGGCGTCCATTATCCAGGGGGCCCATCCTCTGCTTAGAGACGGCATTCCCCTTCTGCCGGCCTCCGTGACAGACAAGAGAGCTGGTCTGAGGTCCTGAAGCTTTGCGTCCGGTCTACGTAACACCTTAAGGCTCGTACGGGACAGAGCAAAGCTAGGGCTGGGTCTGCCTCCTCCGAGAACAGCGCTTGCAGGTTCACCTCCTGATCCCTGAAGGGAGTAGCGGGAACCTTGGGCACATAGCCGGGCCGGGGCCTCAGGGTTACCTGGGAATCAGCCGGCCCGAACTCTAGGCACGAATTGTCGACCGAAAATGCATGCAGGTCTCCTACCCTCTTGATGGAGGCAAATGCAAGCAGGAGCAGAGTTTTCAAACTTCAGCTTGACCGCCTGCAAAGGCTCAACTGGGCCCTGCTGTAGTGCTGTAAGCACTCGAGTCAGGTCCCAAGAGGGGATAGAGGGGGGCCGTAGAGGATTTACCTTCTCGCCCCCTTAAGGAACCTGATAACCAGGTCATGTTTCCCCAGCGACTTCCCTTCGACGGGGTCGTGGATAGCAGCGATTGCAACGACATAGACTTTGAGGGTGGAGGGAGACAGCCTTCACTCCAACCCTTGCTGAAAAAAGGACAGCACGACTCTGATCGGGCATCTTCGGGGGTCTTCTCGGTGAGAAGAACACCACTCAACGAACAGGTTCCACTTCAAAGAGTAAGCGTGTCTCATAGACGATGCTCTCGCTGAAGTGATGGTGTCACTACCTCCTGGGGTAGGTCACTTAGAACCTCCGCATCCCATCCAGGGACCAGACATGAAGTTTCCAGAGGTCTGGACGCGGGTGCCAAGGGGTGCCCCGTCTCTGAGTCAGTAGATCCTTCCTCAGAGGAATCGGCCAAGGAGGGGCTGTCGCGAGGAGCATTAGTTCTGGGAACCAGGTCCGGGTAGGCCAATAGGGTGCCACCAACAGGACCTGCTCCTCGTCCTCCCTGACCTTGCACAGTATCTGTATCTGCCTACCCCCACAGTGTGAACGTAACCTTAGTTGCAAGCCAGACTCAAACCCAAATTTCCCACATGAGCATCAAAACTCGATGTGTCAGAACAGTTGCTATATGACGTGGCATTATAATCAGACACTTTTTGCACACCTTCCCAACATTCAATTCTTTATAATCTCTACAAAAACAGAGTGCAAGCACATACAGAAATGATTTGTCATTTTGCCTTCTCTGGCTTCCTGCAGTGTAGTGCAATACATCTTCAGAGACTAGAGAAAACAATTTCTCTCCTTCCTCTTGAGATGATTTCAGTATAAATAACACATAGCCAAAGTGTCTATTCTTATCTCTGACTGGTGTGAAATTGAGATATCAAGCCAGCCAGGCTGGTATAAAATAGGAAGCTGTTGTGATTGAAGCGCAGAGGTCTGAGGGTGTTTAGACATCCACCTCCATTCATTTAAATAACTGTGCTCTTGTTTGATGACACCAACCCTAAATATCCACCACTGCAGGGAGCAACATAATATTAAAATGGAGCTGTGTAATTGCAGAGAGGAAAATCTTGACTATCCTTCTCATCAGTCTTTGTACAAGTGCTACAACAGGCAGGGTTATATTGGCCTCTGAATTATTTACTGGCCAGCCAGAAGACTTTTATTGAGGTGAAAGCAATCTTTCTTCATATTTCAGTTTGATGCATTAATTATTCAGGGCTTGATTAGAAATATCATGCTTGGAGAAGTTCTCTATTTCTTTCACAAAATTCTAGAAAATCTTAGTTGATAGTTGTGGATGCAGGCTGTTGTCAGTGAGTATAGCCGTGTGTGTTGTGTGTGAATGTTTATTTCTCTAAGTCTGATGTACGATGAGTAATCACTGCTCTGTTTTGTAGCTCAGAAGAGTGGAAGAAAGTGAGCAAGAGTGAGAGAGAGAAACTAGGGGTCACTGTTCAGGATGATGGAGAGTTTTGGTGAGGCTCGCTCCACTCATATCCTTCTAGATCAGTCTAGATCATAGTGTCTTATCAGATGGGTTCCAAAAGTCTGAGACCACTAGTGAAAATTTTCACTAAAATTTCAAATTTCAGTTTTCCATTTTGGTAACACTTTACAATAAGGTTCATTAGTTAACATTAGTTAACTACATTAGTTTACATGAACTAAGCATGAACAATAAAAAAATCTACAGCATTTATTAAAGTGGTGGTTGACTGTTTTTTTTCTAGGCTTGATTGTGTTTATGGGGTGCAGTCAAGCAATGTGTTAATGCTTAGTTTAAAAAAAAAAACATTATTTCTCACATAATTTACCTTTATTCCACACAGTTCTGTCCCTTCTCTGAGAAACGGGCTGATATTTTCCTGTTTTTATGATGCCCCGTCCTCAGAAATAGGCGATGGGCTCTGATTGGTTAGCTAGCCCAGTGTGTTGTGGTTGGCTAAACCGCCTCTAGTGCGCGTCTAAACGTCCCGCCCCTCTCCAGCGGCATGTGCTCCGGTTGTATTGTAAACAAAGGAGTCGTTAATATTGCTTATCAGTTTGAGCTCGATTGAGAAGCAGAGGATATTAAGAGGATCTTGCAGAACCTGTGCAAGCATGGCTTTTAATGGTAGGCCTATGTTTTTTGTTGTCTCATACTTTTAGATACGCTGTTATTTGTAAATGCTACTGCTTATGTTAGCTTTTAACATATGGTTTTATACTGATTAAAGTTTTAATACAGTACAGCAACCGCATGCGCGTCCATGTTTAATGCTTCTCATAACTATGTGAAAATAAGAGTATAATTGGAACAGTTCATTGTCAGAGCTTAGCTGAATGAGAGAGAGAGAGATGCAGAGCGTGTGTAGAGTAGGGGCACGCGAGGAACAATATTAAGAACCGCTGCTTTAGAACATTGATTTTGAAACGTGTGAATCCATTAGAATCGTTAGAAGACAAAATCGTGATTCATATATGAATAGATTTTTACGTGCACCTCTAGTTTTCTCTTCCTCTTCTCTAAAGCAGAGCAGCATGGCCTCGCCCCCTTTGCTGCCTTTTCCCGAGGACAGGGTTTATCAGGGTTTGTGATGTCACGCACCCGGGAAGTAACTTGTTGTAGTCCCTACCAGCTGTTTTTGTAGGCATTAAACTGCCAGAATTTTAAAAGACAATATCTCCGTTTACATTGAACTTTCAGCTTCGTAACTTTGCAGATATTGTTTATGCTCAAACAGCAACATTACACACTAACTAACGTTAAAAAAGTGAAATCACAATCAGCCACCTCTTTAATCTTAGTTGATGTTAATTTCAACATTTACTAATGCACTATTAAAATCAAAAGTTGTGCTTGCTAACATTAGTTAATACACTCTGAATTAACATGAACAATGAACGACTGTATTTTCATTAACTAACATTAACAAAGATTAATCAATACTGAAATGTGTTGTTCATTGTTTGTTCATGTTAGTTAATACATTGACTAACATTAACTAATGGAACCTTATTGTAAAGTGTTGCCTGCATGTTTGTATATATGTATTTTTCATAATAATATGAATATATTTATATAGCAGCACTATGCAATAACTAATCTAAATTGGTTAAAGCATTAGGTATCATGAACTAATAATTAACAACAATTTCTTCACAATTTATTAATCTAGTTAATTGTTAATTTAGCAGTATACTTTTATTCATATGTTATATTATATTATACACTTTGCAGTTATTTTGCACTTTGCATTCATCTAAATTATTAATCTAAGATCATTCAAATGTTTTACTCCATTACGTGTGATGGTTTAACAGTAAACAATTTTTTTACATTTATTAATCTAGGTTAATGCTTAATTTACAGCATTTGTAAATATAGGTTAATGTCAGTTAGGAAATGTACTATTGTAAATTAATGTTTGCTTATAATACAGTAATGTTAATTAAAACACCCTGTAATGATAGTAATGTATTAGTATATGTGGAAATTAACCTATATTAATACAATAAATATTGTAAAAATATTTCTCATTGTTAGTTCATGATATCTAATACACCGACTAATGTTAAAAAACTGAACCGTTTTGTAAAGTATAACCTTTAAGTGTTAAATTGTTGAAAATTGAGTAGATCAACTGAACAAAAAAACACAAATTTGAGAATATCTTAATGTTTGTTGTTACCCTATTTTGCCTTAAAAAGCTTTGTTTATTTCTGTTTTTAAATCCGATTTTATCCCACAATCCCAGATTTTTACTGTTGTACCCCACTGCATCTGATAAACACCTAAATTCTCCATTTATCATAAACTTCTGTTCCCCCACTGCTTGTAAACTTCTTTACCAGGATGAACTTTGAAGATTTCTGTCACTATTTCACTGACCTGATCCTGTGTCGACTGATAAACACTTCTTACTTGAGTATTCATAAGACCTGGGAGGAAGAGGTGATGAGGGGATCCTGGATCCACCGAGACAACCCGCTCCGCAACCGTGCCGGAGGCTGCATTAACCATAAAGCCACGTTTCTGCAAAACCCACAGGTCAGTGTGCCTGTGTGCATCTGCCTTATAAAATGTTGTTCTTGTCCTGGAGACATTTGACGCTCTGGGCCTTCATTGCAGTGAGTTTAATGGATGTTTCTGCCCACAGTATGTTTTTGATGTGAGAAAAGTGGAAGACGAGGTGCTGATCTGCCTGCAGCAAAAGGAACGCAGAGCTACTCCCAAGGAGGGTAAAGGCGAGAACCTGGCAATTGGATTTGACATCCACAGGGTACAGAATTGCATTGTTTCATTGCAGCACAATACAAACCTTCACATCTGCCTGCTGAATATAGTATAAGAAACTAATGCCAATGATAGAAGAACTAAAACATATATTTATGGTATCCTGTCAGTCAATGTTCTTGTCTTGATGAAGCCTATTTTCTACCACCAGGTGGAGTTGAATAGGAAATACAGAATGCACTCAGCCCAGCAGAAGGTCGCAGGGTCGATCTACATCAACTCTCGTTGCGTCTTTCTGAGGAAAGAGCTAAAGGAGGGGCGTTACGTCATCATCCCCACAACCTTTGACCCAGGTCAACAAGGAGAGTTCCTGCTCAGAGTCTTCACTGATGTGCCTTCAGACTGCAAGTAAATTAGCTTCCAGAAAAGAATAGACCGACCTGCACTCCACTTTCCTATTAACCCTTCATCACATTCTTGGCTTCTTCCATGTACGGTTTGTATTGAAAGATGTAATACAAAGGGACATGTACCTGGCAGTGTTATTTTAGTAGGCATATTATTAATTTGCGGTAAATTGAGTTTTATTTATTTTTTACGTTTCATCTAATATTAATATTTTACTGTTATATTATATTGTGCTGAAAATGCATATTTGCTGTCACAGGAATAAATTAAATTTTAAAATATATTCAAATTGAAAATTGGAATATATTTTCTATTTTAATTTGCAATATTTCACAAGATTACTATTTTTACTGTATGTTTGATCAAATAAATGCATCCTTGGCATAAGAGACGTCTTTAAGTAAATCTTACCAACCAAGTGTTTTACGTTTCTCATCTAATATTAGTATTTTTAGCTTTATTTCAGTTAACAAAATAGTAGTTTCAGATTTAATTTTCGTTACCAATAACAACATTGGTACCTGGCCAGAAACTGGTATCTGGCTGATATCATTCCTGCTTGTGTTTCCTTAGAGAACTAACTCTGGACGAGCCTCCTCAGACATGCTGGACTGGGATGTGCGGTTACCCTCAGCTGGTCACCCAAGTGCATGTGTTAAGTGCCGAAGGCCTGCAGGGCCAAGATGCCAATGGAGGTATGTCTACTATTTCCATATACAGTACGTAACAGGTATATAGCAGTGTGTGTTTAGATGGACAAAAATCAATAGCTGAAGATCAACTCTATTAATTTACATTGATAGAAGTTTAATTTATGATTTCTCCTTTTAAAAATTATCTTGCTTCTGGATGTGATTAAACTAATAACAATGTGCATCATTGATTTCTCCCCATAAAGCCTGAAATCAGTGCTCTCTAATCTGCGGTCATATAGATTTGTGAATGATAGTTCACCCAAAAATGCAGGTTTTCTGTCATCTTTGACTGCAGTAAATGATTTTTGGATGAATTATTCCTTTAAGCCATTAAAGGAATCAGACACATATGCTGCTTAATAAGTCTAGAGCTTTTACATATAGAAATCTCTTTTGACCGTACAGAGCTACACTGCTTGATCTCCCACAAGACACGGTCTGACTTCTGCACAGGAGGTACTGACTTTTAGCAGCCACTAGCATCTAAATGTATCTCCCTCCCCTTATAGAAATGTGAGCATGTGACAAGATTAATCTGAATTCTGAAATGTGCCAAAATCTGCCACACTGTCTCTTGTTTATTTGTAGCACTGAATAGTAAAAGTTAAAAAAATAAATAAAAATATTGTAATACATGTTTTTGGTGTGACTAGCATTACTTTTTACTCTGGTGTCTTTAGTTCTCTAGTGTCAGTCTGTGCATTTGTCCTTTAAGTGTTACACCTCAGTACTCTGGTTCGACATTTGCATTCATGTTCTTAGTGACACTTTCTTATCAGAGTGAATTATAATTAAGTGTAAAAATCACGACAAAAAACAAAACATGCAAAGATAGTCCTCAGAAACCAAGATGAAATCCACAATAATTCCAAAGTTATGACAGTGGGTCTCTAATGACAAGTTGAGTGAGTGAGTGAGTGAGTGAGTAGGTGGGTGGGTGAGTGAGTGAGTGCGTGGGTGGGTGGGTGGGGGGGGGAGTGAGGGGGGGACTGGTCTTATTTATGTCTAAAGCAGAGATTCCCAAACTTTTTTGTCAGCCGAACCTCTTTCATCCTCTGAGATTTCAAGGTAATAAGTTTGAACAAGTAAATAAATAAGAGTGAGTGGGTGGGAGGGTGAGTGAGTGGGTGGGCGGGGGGGTGAGTGGTTGAATGCAGGGTGTTTTATGGAGTTTGGTGACTAAAAGTTGTGGCTTTTCCTTCTTTTTTGTAGCAGATTAATAAAGCTGTTGGTTTGATATCAGAATTCAGTTTGTTTGGTTATTCAGAGAAAACAAGACTTGTTTTCTCCACTTTAGTTGTTACCTAGCTACAGTGGTAAACATGTATTCACAGTAATGATGTAGACATGCAAAAATTATGCGAGAGCTGGAAATAAATTACATTTTAAAATATATTCAAACCGAAAAACAGTTATTTTAAATTGTAATAATATTTGCAATATTACTGATTTAACAGTGTTAAAGAATAAAGAATAAAGAATAACAGTCTCATGTCATGCTATTTTGCTTGTCAAATAGAAATATCTTGTTTATATTGTTTACATTGAAATATCTTGTTTACAGTGTGTCATTGGTATAGGCAGTAGATTAATGCATTGAATCCTGTCATATAAAGTGTCTTGCTGATATGTATTTTTTCTTTAGCCTCTGACCCATATGTGATCATCACCTGTGAGGGGGAGAAAGTTCGCTCCCCTGTGCACAAAGACACACGCTGCCCTAATTTTGACATAAAGGGAATATTCTACCGCAAAAAGCCAAAGGAAGGCATTCACATCGAGGTGAGTTGGAAGTACTTAATTACATCTATTCCTCCTTCAGTCCTCTTCACCAACTGCTACAGATCTCCATGGTCTGTACACTGATCTGTTCCACTCACCTTATTTCTGCTTTTCTTCTCTATTTCTCCTGCTTAACCCTTCTGACTGCTCCATGCCGATCTCAGATCTACAATAAGAATGTGATTGTTGACACCTTCCTGGGTCAGGTGACCCTCTTTAGTGACCCTAACGACCGCCAAGAGCAGCACACGGTCTATCTTAAAGACAAGGGTAGTCGCCAAGACAACAGCCTTTCAGGCACACTGACTGTACGTGTGATCACCTGCACCAATTTAACCCACATCTGATTGGAAACTAAATGCAGACTTGTGCATCCTGCCACTTCACTCTCTGCTTGGGTTCCTCGTTCACCCATGAGGTTTTTAGCCCTCATCATTTTCTAATAATTTTTTTTTTCAGTAAACGGTTAGTTGACCCTAAAAAAGTTCTGTCACTATTTACTCACCCTCATGTCTTACTCACCTTTTGCTGTTAATTTTTCAGTGGAGCAAAGTATAATGAATCTTAATGACCACATCCATAAAGCTCTTAAAGGGACAGTTCACGCAAAACTGAAAAATCTGTCATAATTTTCTCACCCTCAAGTTGTTCCAAACCTGTATGAGGTACTTTCTTCTGTTGAACACAAAAGAAGATATTTTGAAGAATGTTCATAACCAAATAGTTTGGTTACCAACATTCTTCAAAATATCTTCTTTTGTGTTCAACAGAAGAAAGAAATTTGTACAGGTTCGGAACAACTTGAGGGTAATAATGGCAGAATTTTCAGTTTTGACAGAACTATCGCTTTAAAAGCATCATAAATGTATTCCATACAGCTTATTCCAAATCTTTTGAAGCCGTATATGAGGCATAGACCTTAGTCAGGGTAGTGGCATATTGAATTTTTTACAGGAACAAAAGCGAGGCTGTGGGGGATAGAAGTACAGTGAGTTCAGTGGATTGTACTGTTGTTTAACATCATACCAATTGTTCAGCTGACTAAATGCCCTTCTGAAAAAAAAATTCAGGAGACAAACACTCCATAAAACTGTTTTTAAAGTTGTGAGTTGTGAAAATGACACAATCTAAACCCTTTATGCATGCCATTGCAAAGACTAATATGGTGTCTGGGCTGAATAAGGTCTATTGACTGAATCTAAGTCATTATTCAGTGATAATCTTCCGCTCTAGTGAGCTGTTATCTTGAGAACTCCTTGTGACTAGATTAAAAAAAGTGAGTTGAACTTGTTCATTTTGATTCATGAACAAACCGTTCAACTTTTGAGTCTTTTTAGTGAACCGTTTGATCTGAATCACATATCAGTTCTCGAGTTCTAACTGAATGACCACTGTTCCATGATTCATTCATTCACTTTCCAGTGGTTCTCGATTTAACGGTTCACTGGAGTGGAAGATTATAGGTGAATAATGAATTCAGTTTCGCATGGTATAGCTATCATTTCGCTTCAGAAGATTTCGAATAAGTTATATGGACCACTTTTATGATGTTTGGAGTCTGTTTGGAGCTTGGCAGACTGTTGTATGGAAAATAGCTGATTCCAGAATTATTCTTTCATGTGCCATGAAACACGGCTAGTGTGCAAAATGACAACGAGTAAATAATGACAAAATTTATTTTCTGGATGAACTATTATTTTAATACCAGTAATGATCTGATATTGTAATAAAGGGCTATGCATTATGTTTGCATAAGCAGCTGAAGTGGTCTAAGGTAGAATTAGGTCATTTAGGAGCCCTAGTCACATGATCAGCCACGTCTCGTCTGCCAGATCACTGAATGCAGCCCAGCCCAGGGAAATGATTCAAATACGATTTTTCCCTTGTCTCTCTTTCCATCCCTTCTCTCCTCCACACACTCAGTCAGCAAATATTCAGTCAGTGTCAACAAGTGTGCCCGTTCACACAGTTTCCTTCAAGATGCACAGTGACGTGGAGGTCCACCTGATTACAGAGACCTTGATCTTTAGCAAGACCTGATCAGCTCTCATTTAGCTGAAAGATTTCAGTGACCGGTGGGCCGCAGCAAGCACTTCTTTGGATTCTCCAGGTCGCGTCGCTTAGCAACAGGAGTCTGGAAAAGAGCCTACTGGAGCATGAAGACTCAAGTGGACCCACAGCCAAAAGCCCACCTGGACTGTCCACCATGCCATTCTTTGCCTGAAAACATGGATGGGCATTATAAAAATGCCAGGAGGTTTGATAAGCATTTTACCTTTTTGTGCGTGTGTGTGTTTTTGGGTGACCAGATAGTCCTGATTTAATGAGTCCTACATCCCCATATATTTAGGATGACATTTTTCCTAATAATTTGTATTAACTTTAGTTTGACAGCTATAAACAGTGTTTTAAAATGTCATCTCTATGATTTTTCTATCATTAGAAACCAGCAGATTCGAATGTGTAGCTATTCATAACGAGATGTTTTTGAAGTCAGCTTATGTGACCCTTTTGACCGGTGTTATTGTAGTATTATTTTTATATTATTTTGTTTTTTATTAATATTTTCAAGTAGCCTTTAGCCTCGGTTTCATTTTAATTTCAGTTTTAGTAATTTTGTTATTTCCTTTTTTTATTTTTAGGTTATTTTACTACCTTTCTGTTTATTTAAGTTCTAGTTTTTAGTGCTTCTGTTTTAAAAATGTTTTATTTCAATTATTACCAAGGCAACATTTCTCATTTCCTCTCAAATTCCTTAGTTTTTCATCTGATATTTTTTAAATTTTCTTTTCTTTCAGCTTTCAAACCAAAAAAGATATTTAATTTATTTAAAAGATATTTAAAAACAATAACAACACTGCTTCGATCCACTAATAGAAGTTGTTGCATTGTCCTTACAATATAGAGAAGTGCTAACATGCACATTCATAATTGTGCAAATGACAAAAACGTGATGACAAATTAGAAGTACACGCTAGTATTTTATTGGCTGCCATTTTCCCACATCATCTTAAAACAATAAATGGAGAAATCTTAAGATAAAAACTTTTGCTTTTATTTACAACATTAGAATTATCGTTTAGGTTTGATTCATTTAAGTGTGACCAAAAGATCAGATGTATCCAAGACTTTTTATATAACAGTGTTTCTTAAATTTAAATTTGTTCGTAGACTGTTTTGAATTACAACAAGTATCAAATCTGGCCGAAATGTGCTTATACTCTATGTAAGCATGTATCCCGATTTTGTTATCGTGGTTGTCTGGTCACCCTGGTGTATGAGTGTTTGTGATCCACTAGCCCTCAAACATAACCTAAGGACCATTAAAAGGTAATGCATGTTTAAATCAAAGGGAAATCAGTGCTAGTGGTGCTCAAAGGATGAAGAGCAGGCCTTTGGACCCACAAATATCTTTACCTCACTCTTGCTCTGAGGATCGCGAGACTGTAAAACAAGGATCTGTCTGTGTCTTAATGACTTTCTAGTCAGACTCCTGCCAAACAGCATGGACCATTGTTTGAGATACGCAAGAACTGCTGCACGACTGCATTAACAGACGTTCTGTGCTTGAGAGAAGATCCCTCGTTTTGTCTCTCAACTCCTCTTGACAATGAAGAACTACACCTTAACTACAGACCCGTGGTGACTATCATCACCAGCTTTGTGTCCTTTCCAATGGCTAGTTGTGCTGTTCCACCAGAGTCTGCTACAGAACTCTTTGTGCACTACAGTGTTTTTGTTTATGCTTTCATTCACTATAAGTGAGTTTTGGAAAACAGAAATAAGTCCACATCACTCATTTATCATGGTTGGATATGTTTTAGCATCCTCTCGTGTCTTTTTATTTGAATGTCAGCTACACTGCTATGATTTCTGCAGTGTGTTGAGCTGGAAATTTGAGGATTTATTCCTTCATGAGTCATGTTTGCTAATTTCAGTTCATATTCTTTTTTTATATTGCTTCTGAAGTATTGTTTTTGTTACCTTGTGTAAAGTTTCTTTAATAATCTGTTTTAATTTTTTTCCACAATGAAACAGATGTGAAGGCCAAATGGTACAAGAGTTACCATGAGCCTGTTTGCCATTTTTAATATTGTGTGTCAAAAATATAGCATAAATATCTCAAATATTGGTTATAATGAAATCAAATTTGTAATGTTTCTAAAGTTGAGCCACTGATCCAAATGAATAATGACACTCAAACTTGGAGGAACAAGAAAAGATAGCGAAGTGGGAAGAAGAGAAACGCAAAGAGACCAGGTGTTATATACCAGGTTTGAACAATACAGTGCCAATCAGAGTAACAATGTTGGATGACAAGACCACGCTCAAACCCCGTGGATTAGCCTTTCGCAAAACGTGGTACATCGGAGACAAACTGATTTTATTCAGGCATGAATTAAGCTTTTTCTTTAGCTCTGTTACATTTCAGTACAACCAGATTGAATCCACAACAATAGCCCAGTCATTCTTTTACATCATTTGTTCCTCCACAGGCCAGATTATGACGTGTAAACAGGGGATTTAGCAAACAAAATTTCTTGTCTGTGGATGGATTTTACTTATCTCCTTTTTGACCTCTGTGACTGACTGATTTAGATAATAGCAATTTGTACTGAGCAGAGAGATGTTATATTGATAGTATAAATTCAAACAGCAAAATTGTAACAGAAAATTCAAATGAAGTTTAAGGCAACAATTTTGCTCAAATGTGTATTTTTTCCCCATATATTTATTTCCCTGAAGTCTAACACTCTGGCACTGTTGCGCTATCAAAACATTGCTCTGTTTGTTTGAGCAATCCCACCAGCAACATTTTCTTAACCAATGGGATGAGTGTGGGGCGGGGCTATCTGTTTATCTGACCAATAACAGACGAGGGGCTTGCACTGGAATTTGTGCACTTCTGTTAGGTAACGTGTGCAGAAATTACACACCTTATACCGTTTAATCTGACTAAACAAACTAATAAATAGCCTTAAATCTCTTCAGCTGTTAAAGACAACAAAGCTTTCATTCTTCATTTCACTTTGTTTCATCCAAAGCTTAAATTTGTATTTGTTGTTTTTTGTTTTGTTTTTGAAGAGAATGCTGTGAAAGATGCAAATGTGCCAGTACAGTTGGAGCCATATGCATCTCCTGTTTTTTTTCTGTCTATTTTGCCAAATAGCATAAGTAGCCAATGGCTTATAATAAGAACTGTTCAAATGCCTTTTAATGTCAAACATTTTTTATGTATTTTGATTGTTCACATGTTTTCTTTAATTATTACTGACACAAGTTTAATTTTCTTTGGCCCTGACCATACGGCAAAACAATGATGTTTAAATGGTTAGAAGGTCCTGGTTCACTCAAATTGTAGTGCATGCTTCAGATCAAATAGAGGAACTTTTGCCATGTCGTGTCAAGTTGATCTTGATGCTGTTTCCTTGTGCAAGTGTAATTTTACATTGCATGTGGGTTTGTGTTTGTTTACAAACAGGTTTTATACACAGTATGAATTTATACAGTAACTTATACACTGTTTGCACAGCTAATGCAATGTACTTATGAAGGAAACA